TATATATATATCTATACTAAATAAAAGGAACTATTTGGGGCTCCTTAAGCTATCCACCTCAGCTTTTCAAACTACTCTAAAAATATGACACATCAGCAAAAAATAATAATACAAATTCCCACTTTAAATTTTTTTGAAATACACATAAAGTAAATAAATAGAACCAAAATTAATATAGTTAAATACAAGAGTAAATAAAAATAAAATATTATTTTTTGAATCAGTAAAATAAATATTATTTAAATCTATAGCATCAATATATACTCTTTTGTTTGTAATATAACAAATTAACAATAATGAAAGTTCTCACTTTAGATTTTTTAAAATACACATAAAATAAATAAATAGAACCATTAAATTAATATAGTTATTAGCGAAAACTAAATAAAACTATATATCATTTTAATCAGTAAAATAAATATTATTTAAATCTGTAGCATTAATATATACTCATTTTTGTCACTAAAATTAATATAGTTACCAACAAAAGTAAATAAAATTAAAATATTAAATCAGTAAAATAAACATCATTTAAATTTATAGCATCAATATATACTTCTTTTGTTTGTAATATAACAATAATAAAAAATTTCACTTTATATCTTTTGAAATACACATAAAATAAATAAATAGAACCACTAAGTTAATATAGTTATTAGGAATAGGTAAATAAAACTAAATATCATTTTCTAAATCGGTAAAATAAATATCATTTAAATCTGTAGCATTAATATATACTCCTTTTTGTAATATAGTGAATATATTAGACAACAAATTGCTCTAAAAAAAAATAATAGTTAATAGAAACAAGATTACAAAATAATAATTTCTAAAATAAAATTTAAAATATTTACAAATTATAAAAATCTAAAACATTCACCTTTTAGAAACATACAGATTAAACATCATAGTACGTTAGATTTAAGGCAACCAACAAGACAACAGAAATTATAGGAAGCTTTTCAAAGCATCTATCTATATGAAGATTTTGATCATCGTTACTATTTACATTGCAGAAAATGATAGACATAAGAAGAATTTCATGCACTGATATTTATTCAATGTGTGTCTTAGTTGGCTTAAGGTAGTCAAGTTACTACAAGCGATACATGTCAACATATGAGTTAAACAGTTTATAAACAAAAATTAAGTTTTAGATGACGGTTAATTTTTATATATATCAAGTTAGTAAATTTTTAAATTAAATAATAATACATTTTTGAAAAAATAACATACACATTTTTATGTAGAAGAAAATGTCTAAAAAAATCTCTAATTATCCACATCAACAAAATTCCTTATAAACCCAACTTGAATGAAAAACTAATATGGTTTTTTTTTACTGGGTTAAGAAACTTTTTTAAAAATAATATAATATATACTATTAGTTTAATTATAAAGGCTCATCAAAATATATATGTGTAGTTTAAGAAAAAATGTTTAAGTTAAACTACAAGCAAAAATTTTTACATCTTTTGAGTTTTGAGAAACTCAACATACTTTATTTAACATAATGAGTTAGTATGAAATTGTATTTGTATATGTATTACTTGCCTTATTCATCTATATTTTTTATAGTGTACGTGTACTTCATAGACCAAATCAAAATTGCATTTTATCAATATGATTGTGATTTTTTATACTATGTAAATATTATTTTTATTTATATGAATCATAGTTATTTTATAGATTTATAAGAGATTAGAATATTGAGTGTTGTTTGTATTTGAGATTGCTAATTAAATAAAAACACTACACGAACACAGTTGAAATAAATATAATAATCTAAATTAATTGGAACAATAATAAACAAATTTAGTCAAAACAAAAATAATTTTAATAATATTTTAAAAGTTAGTAGTGAATAACATTGAGTTTAACAGTTAATTTTAGCATATATCAAGTAGGTAATTCTTAAAATTATATCATGATACATTTTTTGAATACGTTAAAATATTTTTGATGTATAATCATATCAAAACAATTTTAAAAATTAAATATTATATTTAAAATATTAACTTAAAGTAAAAATAATTTAACTTAAATAATAATCAAATATCTATATAAAAACAATCCGCGCGTAGCGCGGAAACATCTCTAGTATAATTAAATTGGATAATCGGGGACTTATGGACATGCGGCAAAGACAAATCCAGACTAAGAGCATTGGAGAGATTTAGTGAAGCTCTTAAAAGTAAAAGAAAAGAAAAAAGAAAGGAAAAAAATGAGGTGTCATTAACTTTTTCAAAGAGTCGATTCTAATAGAGGAGATTTAAGAATCGCCTCTCACAACTTTATCTCTCATTTAATAATAAAATATTTTAAGAACCTATTTATTGAGTTCACTATTACTGATGCTCTAAAGAACCACAAAAAAGAAACCAGTGATATTAGAACAACGCCACGAAAACAAATCCATCATATCCCCAGTTGAGCCCACGAGAGTCTTAACACTCCAACATGTTTATGCCATTGATGACCCCACATCCAAAAGCCAGCCAAACATGTGCTCTAAATGTATGTTCAATACAATCATTTTCAATAGAAACACGTTGAATCTCTTCTCCTTTTGGATTGTATAGTGACATTCAACTTTTTTATGATATAATCAAAAGTATAAAAATGATATAGTTTATGAAATAATCTCCCAATGGTCGATTGGGGTCGTAAGTTCCCGACTCTTTTCTCATCCTCTGCGGTGCACGTGTTGTGCATTTTTCATTTTTACACTTTTGATTATATCATAAACCTATCACAATCCATAAGAGTATTACACTATTATCAATATATTTCGTGGCATATATATATAACAAATGTATTTGTAGCCATAAATTTTAATATTCGATGTTATGTTTGTGTTAATTTACAGAGTAAGAGTACTGACAAGAGATTGTCTTGATCATGCATATCCACACGGTCAAAACTTCATAACAAATGTCAACTCACATTTGATCTCACCTATCCGAATATCTACAGTCTTTACATTTACCGATTTATATAATTTGATCTGCTAATTAAAGTAAATATCAAGTGTTAACTGTATAGTCGTACTTTGGACTTATTAATGGTGGATTTTTTAAAAGAATATAAAGTAAAATGCAATCAGAGAATAATTGTGAAAAAGCAGTTTGGCAATTGGTAATAATGTAATATGATATGGATATGCGGTGTAGTCCGTATAAGCTTTTATTTTCATCTGTACAAGTACAACTTGTGTAAGTAGATATAACTTGTACGTCACATGATTAACCTGATCGTTTTTTTCCCCAATTACGATGATTTTTTTTTAATCTCAAAGGCTAACTAGATATTTAGCATCATTTCACATATTGAGTGATTGTGTATATTTCACATATTTAGAATGTAATTATACGAGCATTACGTTGTCGTCAGTATATAAAAGATACGAAAATGACGACATAGATTAATGTTGTCTGAGTGAAAAACTAAGGTATAGTGGATACAAGTGTCTATGAGACGTCATGTGGTATGATCCCACCGTTATTTCGGTTGAAATAGATACACTGTCCATATCAGGCCTCGTTGTCAATTGCCATTCGTTTCAATTTATACGATCCTATACATTATACACATGTATATATAATATACATACATAAATATTAATGTGATGACCAATATTTTGTGATATTCATGATTTATATTATTCGGTCTCGATTGAAACATTTACGATCCATATAGGCTCGGCCCAGAGAGGGTGGGCAAAGATGTCATCGTCGAGAGACTCATGATTTTTTCCACAAAATTATATGTAAAAAGAGGTTAGTATTTTTAAAAAAAACATATAAAAAGAACCCATTTTTTTTTATAAAATACTTATAATGGAAGTCCAAAATTCTAAAAAAATATTCATTTACCCAAAGGCCAAATATGTTGGCCCGGGGCTGGATCCATATTATCCTAGAGTCTGTAAAATATGGTGTTTATGTTATCTATCAGCTTAAATTTAGATATTTATACTGCTCGATATCAGATTTGCATTATAAAAATAATCAAAACTTAATTAAAAAAACATGTATTAATTTTAATAATTTTGAATTTTAGTTTTTAAAATATGTAAATGCTAGTTAAAATTTGGTCAAATATGTCGTTTTACATATTAATTTTCAAAATTTGTAAAAACACAATGTATTTTATAAATCTCAAAGCTTAACTGAGTTATTTCAATTTGCTTTTTATCTCTCTATGATCAGATGTATAACAACAATTAATGTATAACTTAGTTAATCTTACCTCTCGTAAGAGACTGTAAGTAGGGTAAAAGCACCTTCAATGAAAGTTGCTTATCATAGTTTCTTACCCAAAAGAAATTATAAAATAATAAAAAAATATGAGAAAGAAGGAGTAAAAGCATTGCAATAATCAGATTTTAAGGGATTTTAAACTCAAAAGGAAAAAAAAAAAAAACAATGACATGGTGAGATTGAGGGAGAGAATCGATTCTCCGCACAGAGGCTGTAGGAGCGCTTTTCCGATGACGCGAAATATGATTTACCAAACTTTTTTTAAAAAAGAAAATCAAGTTTTTTAATAATATTTTTTTTCTTAAGAACTTTTTATCATCCTTTCTCTCCATTGCTGATGCTCCAAAGCTTCTTAATTAAGGAGTTTGAAAATCTGTTTTTACCATTTGAAAAATCTCATTTAATATATATCATTTTGTGATTGGTTTAACTTTTTTATTTTAAAATTAATATATTTTTTTAAGATACCTTTCAAGGGTTTACCCAATAAAAATGGTCTAAGTAGATATCATTATGCTAAGTGGTTCTTTTTTTTTCTTTGAACATATGTCAAGAGATCTTCTCTCAAAGAGTTGTCAAAATGAAATACACCATTGTATCGATTATAGTCCATAAATTAATTACATGATGAACCTGATAAGTTTTTAAAAACAAATGTTGAAATGAGTTTATACAAAGAGTATCAAACAAACTTACAATCAAATAAGAATAAGGCTCTCAACGGTAACGTGGTCTTAATTAGATCATAGTCGTGAAGCCTTCAAAAAATAGCTCGCTTTTGGGTTCCGGTACCTTCTTCTGTGAAGCCATTTTCCATCTCACGTATAATACAAATACATAAATTAGAAATCCAAGTATGAATGACGCCATCAAGTATATGGGGATGAAGAATAGAATGAGATCCATATACTTCAAGAACATTGAAAGCGCATAAGAGCAGATGAGAGGGACTGAAATGAAAATATACCACCAATTATATGCTTTACCAACTGGTAAAAGTATAAATGTCAACGCAATAGCCAAGCAAAATGCTATAGTATTAAATCCCCATACGAACAACGCATTTATTAGAAGTTTTCCGACGTAATGTGTTTCATCTTTTTCCTGCGGTTGGACTGCTGTTTGGTATGTAGCTGTGATTACCAGAGCCGTTATTACTAGGAGGGCGTTTCGTGTTCCGTCTGACATACGGTTCTTGTAACTTGCCATTGACGTGGAGCAATATTCAAAGAAAGTTACTGGTGATCTTAAGAAGACAGATGCTGTCTTAACTTTTCTTAGAGAAGCTCCGCTCTTACCTCCCGATCTTCTTATCCTTTTCTCTGTATTCATGTTCATGTGAGATCCATTGTTTCGTAAGATATCGAGAGCTGTCATACCACCTTTGTTCTGCATGTTCCGGTTCAGCGATATGCATTTCAATAGCTGTTTAACCGCCTGTAGAAGCTTCACGATGACCAACCATTAGGAAACTCTAACATCAATGGTCAAAAAGAAGATATGAGACTTAAAATGTGGATCTAACCTAATATTATTATAGACTTGATTTGTTTCTTCTTCATTTTAATATGAGATCGAATTTCGAAGAAACATGGAATGATGAAATATGTCGAGAATGCATTTCAAATCATAAAGAAGTATAAGAACATGCCTTGTGATCATTCTTATATGCTGCGAGATGCAAGGTTGTGTTGCCATCGCGATCGCGTCTGTTCAGGACATGAATCTCAGTGGATGCAGCGTCGCTTTTGTGTAATCTTTGTATAAATCCTGTGAGTACTTTGAGCTCTTCTTCTCTATCATTCATCACCGCAATGTGTAGAGCAGTCTCGCCATTGATGTTTGTGTCTTTGATGCTCTCAGGGCAAGCCAGTAGAAACTCAGTGAGAAGATTGACATCGCCATTTTTTACTACAAGATGTAGTGGTGTCATGCCTGTCGATCGTAGTTTAGATTTTTGACATTATCAAACTTAAAGAATTTTTTAACTGTCTTTTTTATAGAATCCTTTTCAACGTACATATTAAATGGATGATCTTGGGGTTGAATGGTATGTAGCTTTTTCACGTTTTCACGTTTTGAAAACGTGATTCCACTAAATACGTACCATTCACAATATTAAACACTCAATGATAAAAAGTGAAAAGCAACACGCCATTTTTTAAACCATCCCGCAAGTTTTAAATTTATAACTAGTTTATAGAAAAATTCATTCATTTAATAGATACTAGTTTTTTAGCGTTTTGAATTTATTCAGTTTTCAGTTTACTCATCCTAGTGATTCCGCTAGTTTATTATTCAGCTATTCCACTATTCTAATATTAAATTGACATACCAGTCCTTGTGGTATATCCACGACTACTAGTATTAGATTTGATTATTTCAAAAATAAATGTTTTTTAAAAAAAGGTTGTATACAAATATTATTTATATATATAGAATAACATGGTATTTTAGTTTTTTCTAATCAAACATTAATTCGTTTACAGATTGCAAAGGCAAACGATATTATTCTTCTTCGGTTTTCATTTGCATTTTGTAAATAGTGTTTGATAGAAAAAGTAAACTTAATTTTTAATGCAAACATACATAAAACGCAGAAAATGAAGATTTCGTAAAACGGAAGCAAACGAATGAATAAAACACATCAAACGCAGAAAATGAATGAAAGACCGACCAAGAAACGAGAGCCAAATACCTTTTCTGCCAGCAACACGAACAAGATCAGGTTCAATCTTCACTAGTTCTAGTGCTATTTGAACTTGACGGTTCTCGACAGCGAGATGCAAAGGACTTAACCCGGATGCGTTTAGTTTCTTGGCAAAAGATGGCTTTAAAACCATCAGTTCCATCGCCAAATCTGTCTTCCCGGTAAATGAAGCTTCATGGAGAGGTGTGTGGACAAAAGGTAAAACATCAATGTTCTGTAGAATATATGGATCCTTTTGAATTAGAGAATATAAAGCATCAACATTTCCCGAATCAGCAACCCAAAGCAATCTTGGATCCATACTTAGAAAGAAATTAAAACTGAGATTGCTTTGAAATAAGGGACCGAACCATTGTCGTCGCTATATAAATTAAGGGAGGATATTGAGTATTGACTTAATCAATTCAATTAAATTGGTTATAAGTCGCAATGTTCCTTAATATAAAAAGGGGACATGACTTCTCAGTTTATGTAGAATCAGTATTGTACGTTATTCCTAATCAATTTATTGTTGTTGTTTTTTCGTTTTTGACTTAGATTTATAATCATGATAGTTTCAGAATAAACGCTATCTGATTGAGCAACCCAAATCAACCTATCAAAAAATACAAAGAGAGAAAATAACATAACAAGAACAAGTTGAAGAATTGTTGTTTACAATTATGGGAAAATATAATCTGTTGGCATGAAAAATCACCAAAAGAAAGTAAGAAGAGAGCCTTATGTATTAATTCGCTACTGCACCATCATAAGGATTCAATCTCGTTTGTTTTCTGTTTAACAAAGACTTTGGCATATCAATGCACTTGATGTAATTTTAGTTTTTTTGTTGAATAAATTTTATAATCAGTTAAAAAAAAAATCACCAATCAAATTGGTCAATCTCAATTCTACTTAAAAAAAAGAAAAAAAAAACGGAAGACTTCTCCATCAACACTCTTTAGAACCAATAGTAGCTATTAGCTAAGATAGAGATATAGACAAAAAAAAACTCCAGCTTGAACTACAATAGGATAAGATTTATATATGGGTGTGTTGGATCACAAATCAAAAACTGGAAAGTATAATGACTAATTTGAGGACCAGCATTGCAGGAATGGGAAACCAGTTAGAACCAAAGTTGTTGAAGAGCTTGACATTTACTCTTTACGGTAGTGATAATGAAGTTCATAATTTTTCTTGGAAGAAGAGTGGTATCTTGATGACATTTTCAATAGATATTTGTGATATTGGACCGTTCTAATCCTATATCCAATTTTGTTGTTGTCACATGCGTGAACCCACGTTCATTTTCTTACCTATTTGAGTTACACTTCATCCGAATTTCTTTTAAAAAGTTTTTGCCAAAACAGAACCAAAGAGCAAACAAAGCGACACTCTGATTTCTTCACTCGTTGTCGAACTAGTTTCTGACTAAATATAATTTTCCTATAAAAAAAAAAAAAAAAAATTGATATTAAATTATTAGAAATATATTTATCTTTCTAGCGTAAAGTAAAAAAAGTATCTTTTACTATTAAAAATTAATTATAATTTTGGTTAAACATATTTTATAAATTAGTTATCTTATAAAAATGTTACATTAAAATGTGAGTTTAATGTATCATTTGATAAAACTTTTTTCTTTTTCAACAAACAAATAACTGATAATTGGTCAAAATGTATTGTCAAGATTTGCTCCCTCTTAAACTTGGAACAAATATTTTACAGAACGTCAGCTATATATTTCTTTTGAAAATTCGAAATTTTAAGATTTGAAACTTGGGTTATTAATTACTATCGCGCTCGCAGGTACATAATTTTTTTTTTTCTTTTATGCAGATATTGATGTGTGGGTGACTTTTGCAGATAGAGCTATTCAAAGCTCTAAATAAAATTTTGCATGAGATAGAATTTTGTCGTCATCTTTGACGTAAACTTTGTCTCGCTGACATTTATGAATACTATGGACCATTTGCTTTATTCGTTTTAACAAAATGCCTAATTACCATTAATGTTACTTTTTGTTTTGTTTGCCATGTCTCTTCTATATAAAACCATGTTGTACGTAATCTAGGACTAAAAGGTGAAGGTTCCAAAAAAAAATTGAAAACGAGATCGTCGTCTGAGTACAATATATGAAAGAATATGATATTGCGGTTACATTATTGATTATCAATGCTGTATTAATGATAATGATATGTGAGTAACTATGTAAGAAAAGAAGTTAAAAATATCAAAACACTTAACAACATAAATGTTCCATATTGAACACTCAACAAAACAGGCAAACACCCATGTTCCAAAAAATTTGAAAAGGTTTTTTTCGTCGTTAAAAACAAATTTCTCTTGTAATTTCTTGTCAGTAACTTTTTACTGTATAAATTTTGTCATTTAGTAGCACTTTTACCAACAGGCCACCCGTGAAAACTAAATTCTCGTTCTGACACACTTCGCCATCTATCTCTAACCACTGTTTTCACATCAATATAATACGCTAAAATACAAATTTTTCTAACCATAATATAAACAAAACATATATTTTCTTTTTCTCTCTTGGCAAGATAGCTATAAACTCAAAACTAACTAGTCAACAAAACAAACATCAATCTTGAATCACAAATTCAGTTTGCAAAATAAAATTTAAAATTCCAAACAAAATTTAAGATTCCAAGTTCTATGGATTTCAATTCTCATAAAACGATACACAAAATTTATCAACAAATAATATAGGTTGGCTTCTTTTTCCAAAACAAAAATGCTTAAACTTTTAGGATTTGCAAATTACCACAAAGCAAGGAAGCAAAGCTCTAGGATTAAGCAAATAAAGCTCCTCCACATTTGTATACAACCCAACTTTTCCGGCCAAAGAATCAAACCCACTCATCAACCCATTCATCTCCTCCACATTCTCCACCGGCCGATGAACCCTTCCAGCGATAACCCGACACACAATCAACACTTTCCTCACCGTCCGATCATCCCCGATTTGATCTCCGCCGTTCCCCAATATCGACTCAAACGCTCTCCCGCTCGTCGACGCCGTGAAAACCCCGACCCCGTTATTCTTCTCCCGTTTCGCCGAGAACCCGTTCCGTATTATCCGGCAGACGCAGCACTTCTCCGCCGTGCAGAGACTCGTTGACCCGTTAATCCCTAAACCGCAAGCGACGGTGGTTCCGTGGAACCTGAGCAGCTCGTTCCCGTCGGCGAGACACCTCGGGTGCTTCTTCTGGAGTTTGCTCGCTCTGATCTTCACCGTCTCTCTGTATTCCTCGAATCGAGCTAAGGTTTTCTGCATATTGTGAACTTTCAAGACTCGATCGATTCTCCCGCATTGATTCTCTGACTTTAGCCAGCTCGTTCTGCAGATTATCTCCACGATTTTTCTTGACGAATCGCCTTCTACGAGCTCCGTCACTGCAATTTTGATAAAGTCGAGAACTTTAAGACCTAATTGCATATTTCGAAATCTGAAAAATTGGGAAAATTTGAACTCTTTTTGCTTTGAAACACTAATTTCATAATTCCGATGGTGAAATTCGACATTTTACGAGCTCCGTCACTGCAATTCGGATAATTCTTTTGATAAAGTTGAGACTTTTATAAACCCAATTGCATCATTCGACGATAAAATTCGAAAATTGGGAATTTTTTTTCCAAAAGTTGAAAACTTTATGCTCTGCATAATTTAAATTGAGAAAGTTTCGAAATTTGAATTGTTTACCGGCGTGTTTAGAGAGATGATGAGCTTCTGCAGCCTCGAGTTTATTGAACTGTTCACCACATTTATGGCAAGAAACAGTTGAATTGCCTCCGTTAATGGGGGAATCTCTGTTCATCTCCAAAGAAACTCTCCTGTTCGCGTGAAACCCTAAACTTTCTCCTCCTCCTCTTCCGTCTCTCTCCGACAAAGCAAACGATCCCTTTCTCGCCGTCATCGTCGACGAAGCTTGGCTCTTGTAAGAAGCTGAATGATTCAGATAATGCATCGGCGTTCCCGGCCTCAACATCCCAACAAAAGTCGTCGACCGACCATTTCCCCCTCCTCCTCCTCCTCCTCCTCCACCGCCGCCGCCGGATTCCGCTGCTCCGACCGGTGAAGCCATATCTCCGACGCCGGTGATCTTAAGCTCGCAAGTAGAGTTGCTGAGGATAACTTCATGAGTTATGGGATTGAGAAACTCGTTGCTTCCGATAGAACGAGGACTACTTATCGGAGGTTTCTCGAAATGCCGTTTGCTTCCATGGATTACGTCTTTGAGATTCGCTATCGATCTCGAGCATCCCGATAATCCACCGCCGCATCCTCCAGCGCCGATGCCAGCGTTAACGCCGGAGATTCTCTTGGTGGAGATTGCTGAGAGCTGTTTAGTGGATTTGGGGTCGTGGACATCGGATGGTTCGGATTTACAGTGGAGAGACTTCTTAAGTGAGAACCAAACAGTTGGGATGTTCTTCTTGTTCTTTGGATTAATGGTTTTGTTGTTGTCTCTTTGAAGATGCTTCTTCTTCTTCTTTTGGCTTCTTGTGCTTGAATCGTCCATTGTTGTTGTAATCTCCCTTTCTCTCTCTCTCTCTATCTTCTTCTGAGATTTTTGGGATTTTATTGGAAGCGATATTTTCAAACAAAAACAAAAATTAAGGAAGAGGAAGCAAAATAGGCAAGTGAATATGTTTTATTTTTGTCTTATGAAATGATACAGTTGAATTTATTTAATGAGATAGTGTTTTTTTTTCCACAAGTCAATTTAATGAGATATTTAAAAAAAACAATATAAGAAATGGTTTTTTTTTTTTATTAGGCATTGTACGTGCATATGGATCTAAAGAGGTCTATAACACGAGAGAATGTTTACTTCATTTACTATTTTGCGACTCTATCATGTAAAAAGACTTCACAATACGTTCATATCTATGAATCATGCACGATCATGGAGTAGACAATAGTCTATATACTCATTTTATACATTGAAAAAAGTTAAATTAGGCTAGATTTTTTCAGTAAACTGAGAATTTGGAGTTTTGTACTGATAACCTGCATTTGATGCATGATAAATTTCATGAACTTGGATCAATTAATAGCATTTAATATTATTCATGCCCTCTTCTAACTCTAATAAGTACAGTAATTTTGGTTCCAAAAATATACGTCCACGTTCTTTTTCCAATAGTTACCGTGTAGAGAATCTTGCGTTTTTTTATCACACTTCCAAACTCTTTTACAGTAATTAATACGAATGTCAATCAATGAGATCGTGTGAACAGGTTCACATTAAATTTTTGATTTCTAGAATTTAACTGTGAGGTTCCACAGATCATTAGACCATGGACCATGGTTAATATTCAAAGTTCAAAATAAACAAAATGTAATATTTTGACTAATCTTAATCCGGTCCAACATTCGCAGATTTGATTTAATTAGTATGATTGTATAAACTATGATTTTGTTATGTCCAAAACTTTTATACGGGCTAAAACTTTGTAGTAACTGTTAGAGATGAGATCCGTACCGTCTCTAACAAACCCGATATGAATTCTGGTCGGTCCATCTAACAAGATTTAGGTCGGCGACATAAAAGGAAACCTTCCGTTTATCGAATTTCCCGAGAAAAAGGAAACTCCTTTTTGTCAATAAGAAGAGTTTCCTATTCCAAACAGGTTGAAGACCGACCTGATCAGCTATAAATATGGGATCTCCTCGACTTCTCAGATCATCCAAAAATCACTCCTCGAGACCTAAGGCAGATTAAGCAATCCAATCGTTTTTAGTTCTCGATTTTACTTTCCATAAAGGTTTAGGTCGGCGTTCTTGTTCCGACGACCTAAACACCGTTGTATTCTATCAAGCTCCGGCTTCTTTTAATAAAAAGATCTCTGCTTAAACCCTCAAACCCTAGTTCTTCTATAAGTCGAACTTGAGTTTTTACTGTCACTGACTGATGACAAATTGTTATTCAGTGATAACTAAATGAGAGCTACTAAAGTAATCAATAGCAGCATAGGTATACGAACTTAATTTGAAATCAATTTAAAAGAACATTGAATTCAACTCGCTTCTTTCAGCTAGCATGTGTCAATTCACTATTAAAAGACCAGAAGAGCAAATGGAGTATTCTGACAATTTTTGCATGAATAGTAATCAATATAGTAATAAAAATTACTATATTTTCTTATTAATACACCATGTTATACATATAAAAATAGAATTGTAAAGGGTCAAATTTTACGAAGAGACGAATATGTGTTTAGTTGATACTAAAACCTCAACTATATATTTACATAAAACCAATTTGACGTTCCCTCTATGTCTGTAAGATAAATGAGGGACAATATTTAGTTTGTCAAGGATGAAAATAGTATTCATATGATGTTATTTTGTCAAACTTACAAAGTGCATTTAATATTGTTTGTAGATATGGCATAGGGTAGATAAATGAATGAGGGGGTGAAGTAGGTGTGGGTGTCGTTATAGCCTTATTGAATTCAAAAGGAAGACATTAAATTAGAAATTGAATTTTGAAGCATATAGATAGATTTGTCCTTCTGGGTTTCCCAGTTTTTGCCTTAAACCCTAACCAACAGGACCATCATTTCGACCACACCACATTGACTGGTCTGCCCCAAACTTTGATATCTTATGACTTGGATTATTTAATGTTGCTGAAATAGAACATGTTCTTTGGTTTTTGATAGTGATGAGATCTTGGATCGAAACCCACACTAATTCACAAAACATGTAAAGGTCGATATTCTTATAATTTAAGATTCCCACATTAGCCAATCATACTGTATATTAGTATATACTATATGCACTCATGCTTTTAATAATTCAACGTTTATTTTAAATGACTTGTAGTTCATCAACGTAATATAGTGATTAAGCTGTATAGACTACTCATGAATGAAATGTCACATTCACAATATGTATTATGTACACTAAAATTTGAAACATTACATAGAAATAACATCTCGGCCACACAACAAATAAGATTTGTTTTTCTTTCTTCTTTTATCAACACAACACAAAAGAATTAGTATCGTGTATTTATATTATGGTTATATCATTTTTTTCAAAGTTTTTTGAGTATTTATCAAAAATTAATTGAAACTTTTTCAATGTATATAAGTTCTGGAGTTGATTACGGCTTCACAACATACCAGGTTATCGTGGGCCTTCAAGTGGATTTAATATAACAGATATAATCACATTGTAGGCCCATCATTGGCCCGTTCGCTTCATAACTCTATTCTGATGTATCCAGCCCACAACATAAATTGAATTTATTTTGCCTAAATTTTGGAAATTCCCTCGTTTTTATTCGTACGAGTTCAAAAGAAACAACCAAAAAGTCAAGCGGTGGGAGAAAAACCTTTAAATCGTAACCTTTGATTTGGTAGCAATCGACGGTTTAAAAGACTCAATCCGCGTAGTCTATTCTTATTGGTCAATAACTTATTCAACAACATATATAAAACTCACGAGGTTCGTTTATCTCTCTCAATCCTTGTTACTTCGTCAAGAGAATTTTCAGTTTTGCTCCTTCCCTTTTTCTCCCAGAAAATTTCGCTAGAAAAGCTCCGTGGTTGTTGAAAATGGCAGGTCGCGGAAAAACTCTTGGATCCGGTGCGGCGAAGAAAGCCACATCTCGGAGCAGCAAGGCTGGGCTTCAATTTCCGGTGGGTCGTATCGCTCGATTCCTCAAAGCCGGAAAATACGCCGAACGTGTCGGAGCTGGTGCTCCGGTTTATCTCGCCGCTGTCCTCGAGTATCTGGCCGCCGAGGTGAATATACCTTCCCTCTCTTTCTCATTACGTTGCTTAATTTGATTGGTTTCGTCTCTGTTTTTGCCTGATTTGTTTTTTTTTCCCCGATCTAAGGCCAATCAATCTAGTGGTCTTATGTTTTACGAATATGGCATGCGAAATTGTGCAATTTTATTAAATTATCCGTAATTGGCAACTTTTGATTAGTTCATCCCAGATTTTCTCAATTTTGTTTAAATTGTTGTTTCGACTGAATTGTCATAGTTCGTGATTGAATCTACTTTTGGGTTTATTTGGTTAGTCGATAATCGAATTCGTACTAAATTTATCTTCATGCTTGGTCCCGGAAACTAATTTGATTTCTAAAACTTCTTAATTTCGGTAATTTGAATCTTGTGGGTTTTCCAGAATTTGATTCGTATAATTAGCCCTGGCTTCGTTGAGACTGAAACCTCTCTGTTTAAATCTTTGATCAGGTTCTTGAACTCGCTGGAAACGCAGCAAGAGACAACAAGAAGACCCGTATCGTTCCTCGTCACATCCAGCTCGCCGTGAGAAACGATGAGGAGCTAAGCAAGCTTCTTGGTGATGTGACCATTGCCAATGGAGGAGTGATGCCCAACATCCACAATCTCCTTCTTCCCAAGAAGTCTGGACCCTCGAAGCCACAGGAAGATTAGATCTTTAACACAAGATGTATTAGAAACACGTTTCTTTCTTCTTCTGTTTCTCACTTCAAGATCAAATAACTAATAAGTAGCTAGAACCGTTTTGTTTTCTCTGCATTTCAATCGCCTCTTCTATTGTTTTTAGGCCATCTTGTTTCACTTTGTGTGAATATATCAAAGTATTTTACTAAAACTAGCAAACATGTTTCTGAACTACATTTTACAAATTAGTGAGATTCATAGAGCTTCTTTCTCGTCATCAACAAACTCTTGGCACTTTTGAATTTAAAAGTTGGGTTGCTTCGGGTTGCAATTCAATCTGAATGTATAAATCAATTGATAATAATGTTACAAAGATAAACACAAAATGATTACTCTTCTATGGCCAACAAGATTCAAGGATAAGGGAATGAAGATGTGTGTTTCTAAAACTAAAGATGACAATGTTAGTACAAGCTAAAGAGTGTGACTCCCATGGCTTTTACTCCTTTCTGATTGTTCATCTGACTATTAGTGACTAAAACCTGACATCTCTGCGAGTTTGAAGCCATTCCACTCCCACCAGAAAAATGATCATAAGAAGCTCTCAGCGAAACCGCAGATGATTTGTCCTAACAAGTAACAAGACCCAAGATTGTATTTTTTTTTTAGTCTGAATCTGAACTAGACTCATCCATGCGTCTCTCTGTAATAGCTGGAAACAGCTTCTGTCTAGGATCTAACGAAGGCGGTTGTCTTGGAGTTTCAGAAGAAGCTGAAGCTGTTGAGCTCTGTTTTCTGGCCATCCTTACGGGTCTTGCTTGTGCTTCTCTGACTTCCTTACAAGACTTATCTAAGATTATCAAGAAATCTCGCACAATCACAAACAGACGCAACCCTTCGTCTTTTCCAGCTTTGCCATGGAAGTAGTCCCCTGTACTTTTCACCAGAGCCATTATCCTCTTCTCTTCCCCGAGAATCGACATGATGCTTCCTTCAGCGTTTTGGATGAAATCTTCAAGGGCTTCACGAAACCCACTTTCCTCCCCTGAACTCTTCATCTCTGAGTTGACAAAGTCTCGAGCTTTCGTCAAAGCGTGGCCCATTTTGAGAACAGTCCCTGTTAAACTATCAGCATCGATGTTTGCAGATTTCCTCACGTGTTCAAGCTCGCTGCCCAAGCCTGAGACTTTTTGAAGCCCAAGATTGCGGTAATTCTCTTCCATCTCTTCAGAGGTTTCCTCTGCCATCAGATCCTCTGTTTTGACACTAGAGAAGCTTTGGCTCTCTCTGATAGTACGCGCAGCTCTCATACCTTCAGTCCTGATTATCTCTTGAACAACGAAATGGAGGAGCGTTGTTTTCCCATCAGTTCCCTTCACGTCTGCTAATTTCAAAAGAGTGTCCAGCTTGAAAGCTTGAGCACCGCCCCTAAATGTACCATCATTCATTCGGTTTCCGGTCTTAAGAACCGCCTCTAGGAGCTTCAGGAACAGCCGGCTTCCCCTAAGTTCTTTACAAGCAACCTTCCATATATACCAAGTAAAGATGCATTTAGAACAGAGAAGAAGCAAGAGGAAGCTTAATAACAACAAGAACTATAAAGAGGGATTCTTGAGAAAGACTAAAGAAACGTTATTCTGTTTTTGTTAAGGATTACGAAACGTACCTCCAATGTCTGAAACGACTCTTTTACAAAGGCCATTTCTTCATAGAGTGTACACATAAATAGAAGTGCCTCTAGACGCTTGAAAGCGAAAGGGATATCAACTACTGCTTTCAGGAATCGTTCAGCTGATCCAAGTTGAGCTATTTCACCACAGTATAATCTAAGCTTTAATTCTTCTTCTGGTGTTGGTGCCATCTTTAACAGAGTCTGGATGAATTCTACAGGAAGCTCATTTCCTGATTCAACGAGGATTTATGTTAGAGAACACATTGGAGAATACCACCTAAAGAAACTAGAGCCATCTCCTTTTTTGCAGGGGAGTGGTTTAAGGAGTAGCATTGAAATTGCTTTTTGAAAAGGGTTTACCTTCACGAAGGGCATCACACACTTCTTCAGTTGTCGCATTCAAAGCACGCAAGAGAATCGATAGATTTTGTCCTTTCTTTGGTTCAAGAATTTGAACAAACTGAGGTGAAGCAGCTTGTCCAGAGCCACCCTTCTTTTCGTTTTTATTCTTGTCTGCAGCTGCATATCCAAATAACGACTCTATCATCTCTTCATTGAACCTGAAAAAGCATCATAAAATAAGTTCTATTCAGTAACTGTGCCAAAGTCATAAACTTTAAGAGGAACTAAAAGCTAAAAACTCCAAAGCTTTTGACTTACTGGAATGATCCGGATCTTATATCATTCCAAACCATTGAATGCTCTGGATTCGCTTGCACTTTATCCCAGAAAAATGGCTTCAGCTTTGTTTTGGGAGCATCATCATCTGATGAATTTGCTGGCCCAGAAGACGGTCGGGGAGCTTTCGGTCCCAGGCTCATCGGTGGAGGTGGACGTGGTCCTTTTAGTCCAGGAGGAGGTGGTGGCCTAGGCCCACCAGAACCAGGTGGAGGAGCAGGAGGAGGTGGTCGTGGAGGACCAGCAGAAGATGGCATTGGCGGTGCTGGTGCTGGTGCTGGTGCTGGTGCTGGAGCTGGCGGCGGTGGAGGAGAAGCCTGAGAAACCTTTTTTGAGGATACCTTAAGGAATTTGGGTGGTTCCGGTGGAAGAGGCTCCACTTTTCCAGAAGGAGGCCTCCCTGAAAGTACAGAAGCTATTCTTCCAGGTGGAGGCTTCAAAGGCGGAATCCCGTGATTGCTGATACCATTATTACGTATCCCTTCGTGTGACAACCTTTCTTCTAACGAATCCGAATTGTCAGAGTTACTTCCATCGAAAGACGTCATTTTTCCTTGGTTTGAGTATATGTTAAAAGATTGATGACCCAGTTTATCTCCTTTGACAGAACCACCACCATAGTTGAGGGAGGAACCTGAAGAGAAAACAAAGAAAGTACTTTACATTATATATATTCAAGAAACTTTCTGTTAAATTAGTACCGTGAGAAAGTGGAGATGTTATTACCAACAGAGTAATCACTACTGCTTAAACTGAGGAGAGGCCGTTCATCGTTTTTCCTGCGTCCTGAACCTTTTCCACAAACCCTGGTGCAGCATAAGAAGAACAATGCAGCAAGCAAGAACGTTGAAACTGCAGTCACAACAACCGCGATGATGATTGTATTCTGATGGTCCTCTTTTCTTTTGGCAGATGAAGCAGGTCCTGAAGTTGAGTTTTTAGAACCGTTTTTCTTAGCAGGAGAAGGAGGAGGGGATCTCGACGGTGGAGAAAATGAACTCCGCGGAGATGGAGATCTTGGTGGGCGTCGACTACGCTTAGGAGGACGGGCAGGAGAAGGGGAAGGGGAAGGAGAAAGGGATGAGACAGGTTTAGAAGCTAGATTTCTCCTCGGAGTATCAAGCATAGATGATGAGAGCTCGAGATACTTGAGGTTATGACCATTTAACTTTCCTTGTACTTGGATACAGTCAAGAAGAGTCTGCTTCAGATGGGAATGCTTCAAATCAAATAGCTCCCAAATATCATTTGATCCTGTGAAACATAAATTGAATACTGTGACAGCTTCCTTCACACAATCTGAATCTTGCCAACAACGCTGCGCCCATGCTGTTTCTACCTGTCAAAACATTGTACAAAAGACAAGAGACAAACAACTTTATAAGCTACACACACAAAAAAAGTTAAGCATATAACAAACTAGCTATACATCCAAGCATGATCGCAAATGGCGTATCCAGACACATAAGCGTTCTAAAATAACCATAATCTTCTTACAGGGGACATGAATCAAAACCAAAAATGCGATAACCTAAATACTTTCAGCAAGAAACAACAAGCTATGACTCGCAACTCTCTCTGGATAAAGTCTTCTATAGAGCTACCAAAAAATGAAAGTATCTAGAATGCCTTGACACAGACGAAAAAAAGCCAAGATAGTGACGAGCTTGAACCAAAAACTACGGCAGCAACAAAATGCTCACTGTAATATGTTAACCCATTGATCCAAGCGTGTGTTGAAAATATTACATAGACTGACACAAATTCGAAAACCAAAAATGCAATCTTAGTCTCTAAAACCTTCAACTCTCGCCTTAAAAGTATACTAGAGAGCTACAAAATCTCCTTAGTTTATACAATTTTAAACCCTTCACAGATAAATCCCAACAGACATGACAATTAGTTTTGATGTTAAAAAAGATTCAAACGAGCTTGAAAAGCAAAAGGGCAATATTTACCATGTGTTCATTGACCTCCCCTGTTGATGGAGCCATGAATTGACTTCGAAAAGTCTCATCTTTTTCTGAATTCTCTTCCAAGGTGATCACCAAGAACCCAGAAAGCAGAATCAACCAAAAAACTAAACGAGCCCAATTCTGATTACCCATTCCTCCTCGAATCATTCCAAGCATATCTATTGCTTCTCATTTCATCAGATACTCCAAAAAGGCCAAAACTTACAGATCAAATTCGCCAATATAACAGTAGGACGATTTTACAGCTTTTCAATGCAGACCCTTCTGCTGAAATTCGATCAAGATCGAAACTTTTAACACACAGAACAAAAAAAAAAATCAACAACCCTGATCGAAATTCTAGAATTTTGGAGCTGACTTCGACGCAATTTCGCTGAACGAGGCCAATTCAATAAAAGCTTCGACAATGTGCCTCCAGATGATTACACGTTTCGAGAAAACAAGAGCCAGCACAAAAGGAGAAGAGTTGGTATTAATGATTGCGGCCAGATCCCAATTTGACAAAAGAGCTTAATGCGATTGTCGTCGGTGCGCTCAACCAAACCAAATTTTGACCAGAGAGACCAATAAAGTTTCAAACTTTTTTTTTCTGAGAAAAGTCGACGAGATAAATTCACGGAGAAATTAGCTCTCAAGCTTCATACAAAAATTCTCCTAAGGACCTAAGCTATTTCGTTCATTTTTCTTTGTCAAAATTGTCCCTCTTTTTTTTTTCCCCAAAACTCAAACACGCGAGAATTACGCAGAGTTATTAATATATTGGATTATTTCTTCTTTTTTCTTGATTTAATATATTTACGCAGTTTGATTTACGCAGAGTTAATATATTTGATTTTTTTCTTCAAACAAAAAATCGTAGTTTAACCCTGACGAGATTATTACTCATTTCTACTGTGATTGTTAGAAGAAAAAATAATTAGAACTGCGATTTTATGTTTCTTGATTTAATACTCATTTCTACTGTTACAATTATTATGTTTCCAATATAACCATGTTGACATATAATTGATTCCATGTTTTTCCAACCATTGTCGACGATATGATCATATGACGAGATATGCATGCATGATGTGCATGGACCATCTTACAATAGTCAAATTTCTTGGGAAAGCAAACGAGTTAAAAATATTGAAAGACTGATTCTAAAATTGGTCTCGAATCTCGATCAGTTGCATTTACGCTATGCCTTTCACACCTATTTATCTTGTTTTTTGTTTCTAAAAATATGCTAAAGAATGATGAATTGGAAATTCATATTTTTGTTTTGTTATAGTAAATTGTAGATTATCTCATAATAAAGTATCATTGGAACCGGGAAACTCAAATGCGCGTATAAATTAAATGAGTTTGCATATATTTACTAACCTTTGGTATTCATGTAATGTAGAAAAGACTACAAATAATTGTATCTTATGTCTTTTGTTTTTTGCTTTTTGATCAATTATTTGATAATTATAAAGTGCGTCCATCGATATGCATGGTAGCGTTATGCTTCGAGGACACATCACAAAAATATATGCTCTACAAAAGGATCACAATATATATTTTTATAAACTATCATCTTCGGTAGTAATAAGATAAAGAATCAAAACGGTATGGCTCAAAGCAAGTAAGGACAGATTTCTTTATGACCCTTCGAGCAATTTCTACGTCAAGAGAACATATTCGTTTCTTTACTTTTAACCACGCCAAAGTATTGTCACAACGAAAGGAGAATATTTCCCAACTTTTTCTCTTATCATCAAATAATTTTGAGCCCCCAATAATTTCCATTATCTTCGTATAATTTTACTTCTTTAATCTGACTTTGGACCTATCATGTCAATCTAAGTAAACATGCTATTTAAATATGCTACAATTAAACCTCCACGTAAACATTCCTTTCATCAACAAGATGCGTCTTTTTATCTTTCTTTTGTGTATGTTATATAACATGCATGATCTCCCGACTATTAACTAATTAATCTTTTGATCAGAATTGCTAATCAACTAAACACTAACGGTTTTTAAAAAATTAATAAAAAAAAACGATAGAAAAAAGCGATTCCTGTTCGCAACAACTACAATACAATAGTGTGTATAATTACGACGATTATCTTGGAATATTAATAAAGCAATGATATTTTATAGACTTTTTTTTTGCTAAAATGATATTTATAGGTAATTCAAACATTAATCTCTTTCGTGGAAGAAATATTTCTGTTAGTTTAAAATAATTTAACCTGCAATCTGAACCTAGTTTGTTGTGTGTGTAATTTTATTCAGTTTTTCCAAATCTTTTATCTTTAAATTTTTGAGTTTTGAATTCATTCTAGTTTTCAATTTTTTTGGCATTGCCAATTAGCTGTCGTTATTGTCTTCCTGCTATTTTTTACAGTATACCATATCTAGTATTAGTAACCACTTTGGTTTTAAAACCTGATATTATCGTTATGATTTTCAGTAATGAAGAATCATGTAATGAATAAAGCAATCCATACAAATGATACAGCTAACTTATTTCTGCAAACAGCTGGAGGGGATGCAAGAAGAGGGGAATGGATACATCCGATAACATTTGAATATAATTAGTTCTGTATTGCAAAATGAGAATAATTCATTTGATAATTAAAATTAAAGTATTCACTTTACTGCCTCCAATAACTCAACTAATGATGTATTGTTTCAGTTAAAAAAAAAACATTTTTTATGAAGTGGTATATATACTATTCTTTTTATATTTTCTTATTATGTCCACAGTAAAATTTACCGCAAGCTTTTTTAAATCCTTTTTTATTAGCTAGCTGCATGAAAACTCATACTATAAGAACAAAACCTTGATTCCAAAACTCTCACACACACTTTCCTTTTTTATTCGTCTCAATCTCTCTCTCTCTCTTTCTCTCATGACGAGTGGTGGCGGAAGCCTCAAATTAGAGATCCACGCCGACGATAAGGCGCCGGGAAAGTGGAGCGTACCACTCGGCGAGGAAGTTTTCCGGAGGTTCTTGAGCGGGGGAGGAGGCTCAGAGAAGGCTGTGTTCGGCGAGGGATCTCTTTTCAGCCCCTTTTTGTTCGGGAAGTACTTTGATCCGTCAGATGCGTTTCCGTTGTGGGAATTCGAGGCAGATGTTTTGCTGGCGAGCCTCAGGAGCTTAGGACAGTGTCGAGTTGATTGGTCTCAGACCGATCAAGCTTATGTCCTTAAATCCGATCTACCCGGTATATATTTCTTACGGTCGATTCTCTTATTTATTTTTCTTTGCTTTTTAGCTTTATCAATAGAAAAAATGACATGTGTTTTATAGAATCTGATCCGAACGAAAAAACTGATATAAAAATCAAATGAAAATTTAGTTTATATCCAAGAAAATGGAAATCGAATATAATCGAAAATGTAATGATCTGAAGTGAATATTTTTTGTTGTTGTCAAACTAATTAAGAGTGTTAGATTAAAACATAAACATAAATCAAAATCCAAAACGTATCATACCGATACTTTTTTTTTTTGTTAAATTCATATTTTTGTTTTACTTTTATGTGTATCGATCGGTTTTACTTTTATTACTATTTTATTCTATAAGTCTGTATCGCAACTCTACGTTAATGAGAAATATGAAAATGATTCGGACAATATCAACTAAAAAAACAAACTACGTATTCCTTTTCCTCGAAGGTTTGAAGACAAAACTGATTATTTTTTTGGTACTTGGCTATTAGTGGTGGGGAAAAATAACGTGCAGGTATACGTGGACATTAACGGAAAAGTGATGGAAATTAGCGGCCAATGGAACGGTAACAAGAAAACTGCGATCAACGGCGACTGGAGAAGTGGCCGGTGGTGGGAATACGGCTACGTCCGCCGTCTCGAGCTTCCCGGTGATGCCGACCCCAAAAACTCCGAAGCTTTCCTTTCCATCAAAGAGGACTACTCTTTCTTAGAGATCAAAATCCCCAAGACTAATTCGAAGAACAAGTTTTAATCTGATATGTCGACCATGATGAGTATTAGGTTTAGGTTTTTTTTTTTTTTTTAATTATAGAATGATATGTAATGATTTCTGTGGTGGACACAATGTTTATGAATGATAATATATTTGATCAATATCGATTATAACAAATGAATTTACTAGAATTACACATGTCAAGCAAGATGCATGTCTTCGTGGTAGTAAACGAGAGTGGTTTTATCAATCGAATAAGTTATTAAACATTGAGGTTTATCTCAATGCCCTGCTTACTCTGTTGCTCACGCACTTGCTCTCACACAAAAAGAGGTATATATGCTTAAAATCAACTTTTCAAAAAACAACTTAATTAGCTTATTACTCCTTGCTTAAAAAAAACACTAAGGCTTTTTGGCTCGTCAATCTCATATATACATATATTCTGATTTCTGACATGATATCGTGGTGCAAAGCGTGCAATGATGACATTCAGAAAAAAATGTCAATATCATATCACATCTACTAGGATGATCCGATCAAGTAAAACATATAAACATGTTTTCATTCTGCACTTAAACTGAATCCGAATTTTGTTCGACCTTGGTTAATTTATGCTATTTCGACGAGCACTCAAACACTTGGCTTTCGGATAGACATCTAAAGTATATCTTAGCACTACAAAACCTCATTTTCTCCATTTCATTGGGTAGCATTTCGAGTCTAATCCTAACTCCGACACTATATTTTTAGAAACGGATAAAATGGTCAAAGAATATACATATGGCAAATCGAAGATTAGTTTACTGGCGTTTGTAAACGGTGAATTTAAGAAAGTCCAATACATGCATGCTATTTGAATATAGACTTGAATTGTTTTTCCTTTTTTAATGGGCTTCCATCAAGGCGCTGCCCAAACAACTTGGCCCATATATATGATAACACTACTTACCTACAATAATGGAAGAAAAACAATTACTTGCCTATAACTAATCTATTTTAGTTTTTTTTTTGCATATTATATTATTCTTTGTAAAAAGAAGAAATCTAAATTATCATTATATCTTTACGTATTCTTTTGCTGGATCTCTTTTTGACCATTTAATAGTTTAATTGTTACTATTGAGATCCATACTTGATAAAAATCGTTAAATTAAACATAATAATTTTACCAAACCCTGAATTTTATTTGTATTGAATATAAAAGAGCTAGTGTGTATAATAAATTAAATCGAAAACACATACCAAAGGATTATTATTAATCTAGACAGAACAGAAAAAAAAACAATGCATAACAAAAAAAATGGGTTAGAAGCTAGGGCCCCTTACTAATAGGTACAATAATCATCACCAATATAACCGACGCAAACATGAGCCACAAATGTCAGAAACTATATTTTTCTTTGGTTAGACAACATTAATGTATTATCATTGGATTCTAACTTCTCACTTTATATATTGAAGATTATTATTTATGAAAACTAGTTACACGTAGTAACGTTACTTTATTTCACCAACAGAAGCAATTCTCATCATGTACTGAAACACTTGTTTCCACAAAAATGTGAATACATTCAAATATTCATCGGCATTTTTCATTCTTGGTTGAACATAAAACAAAATCCAAACGAATTATTGTCTCATATCAATAACTACTAGCTACTTGTAGAGGTACGTACGTAGTTTTATTTACGAAACGAAAACTTCATTTCGTGTAGTAGTAAATGCAAGTGTGTTATATATATAACATATTCTAGTTTCCAATTATTTTTTTGTAGAATATATGTTCCACGAATATCTTTTTCGGCCCGTATACACACACACACACACGTATAGAAAGTCATCGAATCTAAACCAAAGTATGAATTGTTTAGGCAGATGCAGAATGGAACTAACTCTATAAAACTCTAAATTTCCGATAAAAATATAATAAAGATAAACTAGATCAATCCCCTCTCAGATCTGACCATCTGAACATTCTTTCCATGATAATTTTCAGTATATTAGCATTTCCTTTTACAATAATAAGTTCCAACGCAATGACTTTATAGAACCTTAATTTCTAGTTTCTACCATATAATAGATGTGAGGTCGATTTATTGATTACGTGAAATAAGAGTAATTATTACTGTGTGGAGAGGTACAGAAAAAAGCCTCCAAAGTGGACCATTTATTTATTTTTACATAAACTGAAAAGAAAAGAAAGAGTATGATATACATATCCAATGGTGTTCCTTAAAATAGGTTTACATGATGATTACTATACATTTTAGTTTCTTCCTGTCAAAAGAATGAGACTGAAATGTCCATAAAAGATTTTAGTTTTAAGGATTTCATAACCCTTTCCTCAGATTTTGAAATGGCTCGAATGGGACATGTAAAATATAATCTGTTAAATTGTCTTCTTTTTTTTGGGGGGGGGGGGGGGGGGGGGGGGGGGGGGGGATAAATTGTAAAACTTTATTTTTTTTAATGGTTTTCATAGTGGGTTAGTGGAACAAGTTAAGTATATAACAGAACTAGCGAAAATAATAATTTATACGACATAACAGTATTAAACTATTCTTTTAACCGAGGAAGTAGGTCTAAGTTTGATGTGAGAACATGACTTTAGAACAAAACTTTGGAGCTCTCGACCATAAACTGAAAATAGATTTGGCAACAACTTTTTCTTCATGTGAAGTGTTTGATGCATTTCCTTACCATCTATATTTATATAGAAACATTTCATACGAAGAAAATAAACAACTGTCTAAAGGATTTTCTAGTAGTTGGTGAATAGATTAAACGTTTCTACACCTATATTTTGGATTAATATAAAAAAAATTCCGCTCATAGATTTTTGATTTTTGAGACTTCTTGTATGACAAAGATTGGAGGATCGTACGTTTATAATTGTTAAATTGGTATGTTGCAAATAGTAAATCGTTACTTACAATCAAACGTAATAATTTCAGTTGATTTGTTATTTTTTTGGGGATAAAAGTCATGAATTTATTTTAGTTTCTGTAAGCTATAATTCAAAAACATTGTATTGAGTTCCAAATTGTTTTTAGTGTATAATTTGATCCAGTTAGATGAGGTGGGGGTAAATAATCATGGCTTAACGCTGAAGTCTCCGATGAACTATTTCACGTTTCAATAAAGTTGTAAAGAAAAAGGAACAAAAAAAAAAAAATACTTGACACCCATTTGACGCAATTGAGGGACTAAAATTGTATGAAACAATTCTTAAACGAAGGAAAAAATATATTAAATTAACATGTTTTGTTAGGTCACGAGATTATAAAACATGTTTACGACGTAGGAATTACTATCTTAATCCTTATAAACAAACTGTATGTACATATCTTTGAATCACAACTATATCGAATTTTAGCAGTTTAACGTACGATTCCAGTTACTCTCGATTTTATTATTTCTAAAATTATCTAAAAGATTTAAGATAGTGCTAAAAAATAGGGTCGGAAGTTCAAATTAACAAGTCCTTTTAATTTTAGCTGTATATTCTTTTGATCAACCGAAAATATCCAACGAAGACCACTTCGTCGAACAACAAAAATTCAAATATTAGCTACATGCAGACCACAAATCATAAAAATATAACAATAAACTCTGAAATGCGTTTTCTGTTATATATTATACGATTTTGCTAATTTGGAGTTTCAGACTTGTTCAACTTCATATTCGACGCCACGATTTTTACAAAAACCCATAGTCTATAATACATTTTATTAATAATACTTTATTCTAATTATATCCTTTTGTTTGACTCTATCAAATTTGGCATGATCCTTGAATCACCCAGTTAATCACCTTCGCATAAAGTAGAGATTTGCTTTATCCATAGAGTATTATATTATTGATATCTGAATATATATATATATATATATGCATAAAACCTATCTCTAATCAAAAAATATATTTACACAATGGTCAAAAATTATAATTCGTGAATCACAAAGTTTGCAACATTCTGTAATTAGACAAAGTAATGAAATGTTTTTTTTTTAATTATTATTCCATGATCCGACTTAGATATATATTTAGTGTATAAAGTTGAATAATGATTAGTGCGTCTCGAATCAACTAAATGTAAGCCCATGTACCATGTCACCTTTCACTAACCTAAAAAAAAAAAAATATTGATGTTTATTTATTTATTTTGAATTGTGAGTAATAAGGTGATCGCATTTACCTTTTTTTCAATAATACCCAAAATTATATAAGTACGATTTCTCCATCAATGATTCACTGCATAATATTTTAATTACGTCAATTTCACAAACCACATCAACGACGATATTTGAACGGCCCAATTCAACTCGCTGCATCGGACCATTAGATTTTACATATTGTCACATGAAATTTGACATCTCGTCAGGGTATGAGACAGAATCTAAGAATTACACGACAAAAGACAATTTTTCATTCGGACAATTTTAGCCCATACCTTTTCAAACCAGAAACGTGACTGATTTGAGCAAATCTTTGGAGCGATGTTAAGGGTAATTTCGGTAAGATAAAATATCCACTTTTTCCTGAAAGGAATCTCTCGTCTAAAAAATGCTGACGTATATCGCATTTTACCGACACGTTATTGTTAGCTTTTCTTAATTTTTTTTAATTAATCGTCATTAGTTTATTTGATTTCCGAAATTAAATCTGTGAGATTACCGATACAACCTATGGTAAGATATTTTACATCTTTGTTTAAACCAAACAAGAAGATTCCATCTTAAAATATGGGCCATTATCAAAATCTCATTTTCAAGTTTTTTAAAGAAAATTCTTAACAGTCTGATAATTTCTTAATTACTATATTCGCTATTTCATGAACACTATATTTACTTGTATTTTATTTATACAAAATCATATTTTATATATTTTAAAATTTTACTCGAGTGATATAAAATAATTTTGCAACCCAGTTGTTTAGCTTAGAAAGAAAAGTCATCAACAGTTCATCTCTTGCAAAATCTGGCTTTTTTTTCCTAGACGTAGAAAACCTGGTTTATGCAATGTTCTCCTGTTTGATAGAAGAAAAAAAACACAATGTTCTCCTTATATTCGATATATGTTTATTTTACTTTTTTATAAATATTCAGATTTAACCAGTTATTTTGTTGTATGGTTTAAAGTCATAATTAAGTCCACTGACCTTACACTGCCCCTAGTCCAAAGACTCTTGACATTA